TGGAAAAGTAAAAAAGTAAGAAAAAAAAACATGGATTCTGAAATATTACACCGCATATTAAGAGCATGCTACATGGTTTTGCATACAATCTGTATTCCTTGTTGTATGTTTGCGTTTGGTTTTCTGTGTTTAAGTATGTGTGTGTAGGTAAGTATGTATGAATGTGCTTATGTATGCGTGTATGTTTGTATGTATGTGTGTATTTGTTTATGTATGCGTGTGTGTTTGTATGTATGTGTTTATGTATGCGTGTATGTATGTATGTAGGCCTATGTTTACTTGTTGATGTAAATTTTTATGTATGTATGTTTGTATGTATGTCAATGATACAATTAAAAAATGCAAGATGTTTGTAAAGGCATGCGTTGGTATGTGTATGCGTTGGTATGTGTATACAAAACTTTGTATGTTTAAGATAACGAGTGAATAGTTGTATGAATTTAAACATCCGATGTAGCAAAATATTTTTGTAAATTTACTTCAGATGACAGGAGCGATATGTTTCATCGAACATAAGCCAAATTTTTTTGTGTCTTTGTATTTGTATATTTTAGTAAAAATCTATGCATATTTTTCAATTGTTTATTGTGTTTTTATATTTAGCTTCAGTTTATTTTGCGTTTGTATATTTAGTATTTGTATATTTGGTATTTGTATATTTGATATTTGTATACTTTGTATTTTGTATTTTTATAGGATTTTATGTTTTTACGTTTGTATGTTTTTAAATATTTTATCCATTTTATCCATCTTCATCTTTTGATACTTTTGCATGAACCACATATAATTCTTTTTCGTAACTAAACTTTTTTTGTTGTGTTATAGATTACTACAAAATTAAATACTGAAAAATTTAATCGAAAATGATTTTCTCATTACTATTGCTACTACTAATACTACTTCGACTGCTACTACTCTTGCTACTACTGCTGCAACTACTACTACTACTATTATTGAAGCTTCTACTACTACTACTACTATTGATGATGTTGCTGCCACTACTGCTGCTGCGTTGCTACTACTAGTATTGCTAATTTTAATAATTTATATATTTTCTACTGCTATTAATAATAATGGAAAAATAATAATAATAATAATATAAATAATAATAATTTCACGCTCTTTGGAACAGTGAGTTATCCACAACTGCCTTCTACTCCAACATCTCCGAAAATAAGTTGCAACAACAACAACAATAATAACATTAACAATAGCAATAGCAACAACAACATCAGCAGCAACAACAACATCAACATGTTGTACATGAAGACTCATCCATCAACTACACCGCCATCCGTCGAAGCGTTAGATTGTTATAAATATTCTTCCCTGGCATCCAACAACAACATCAACAACAACGTCCACATCAACAGCATCAACAATCTTATCTACGATTCAATACCGGCGTCGTCGTCTTCATCACCGATGCAGAAAACGCTACAACCACAACAACATCATCACCATCAACAACAACAACAACAACAACAACTAAGCAACACATTCCTCTTCAACAACATTTCCAACACTCCACCGTCACACTTGTTTCTTCCGCACCACCACCACCAACCACCAATACCACCACCACTACCTCCGTCTCTGCAACCATCATCAAGACACCACTCTCATCATCATCCTCCCCCGCATCTTCTCCTTCCACCATCACCATCATCGCTTCCGCTCCACTCTAATCCACCGGCTCACCAATGTCTCTCGTCATCATTACCCCAACCACCATCATCGTCTTCTTCATCTTCTTCCTCGTCGTCATCACTCTTTCCATCGTTTGGGTTCACGCAAGAACAAGTGGCCTGCGTCTGTGAAGTCCTTCAAAACAGCGGCAATGTCGAAAGGTTGGCTCGCTTCCTCTGGTCCCTCCCCGCCTGCGACCACCTCCACAAAAACGAAAGCGTCCTGAAAGCGAAAGCTGTTGTGTCCTTCCACAGAGGCAACTTTAAGGAACTCTACAGAATTCTGGAGTCGCATCAGTTCTCTCCACACAACCACAACAAACTGCAGTCCCTCTGGTTGAAGGGGCACTACACGGAAGCGGAGAAGCAGCGTGGCAGACCGCTGGGGGCCGTCGGGAAGTATCGGGTGAGGAGGAAGTTCCCGCTGCCAAGAACAATCTGGGATGGTGAGGAGACAAGTTATTGTTTCAAGGAAAAGTCCAGGACGGTTTTGAGGGATTGGTACAGCCACAATCCCTATCCGTCACCAAGGGAGAAGAGGGAACTTGCTGAAGCTACTGGGTTGACCACTACGCAGGTTAGCTGGCTGGTTGGTTGATTGGTTGGCTGGTTGGTTGACTGGTTGGTTGATTAGTCGGTCGGTCTGTCGGTTGGTTGGTCGGTGAGTTTTGATCGGTAAATTGTTAGGTAGCTGGTAAATTGTTTTATGAGCGATTGTTGATCTGAATATTTAGCGGTATTTTTTTACTACTTCTCAAAGATATCAAAGATGTTTTTACCTCAGTGTGTTTGTTATATTTCAATTCTTGTTTGATAATGATTAATAATGATTATTCTCACACGCTGTTCAACGCGTGCTCCTAGCGTAAATTTTAACACGTGATATGAACATCCATCCATTCATCCATCCATTCATTCATAAAAATTACTACTTATAAATTGTGATAGGTCAGCAATTGGTTCAAGAACAGAAGGCAGCGAGACAGAGCAGCAGAAACTAAAGAGAGGTGGGCGTGATTTTTTTTCAAATTAAATTTAAAATTAGGTGCGTCCGTGGTGCGTCCTTAACAATGAATGCTAGATTCTTAGATGCCATAAAATTTAAATTTAACCGATTTAGAATATAACTAAATAAAAGTAAATTCCAGTTTTAATAAAAGTGTTCGTTCAATTAGCATAAACAGAAAAATAATGATTGAATTAAATTTAATTCAGGGGTGGGCAAACTTTTTGCTGTGAGGGCCGCATTGAGAACTATTTTACCTTTGAAGGGCCGCATATGTACTTAAATAACAAATTTTTTCGACCCGGGGGAGAATTTTTTAAGATTTGTGGTTCCTTTTTTTGGTCATAATGTCTAGCTGACGGCCTTTTTTTGGTGAACAAGGACTCGCTGGCCGCACAAAACAAATTGATTGATTGAATTAATTACAATTGATTGGATTAATTTTAATCGTATTTTCACAAATTACGTTACATATTTATTGATAATATAATATTTATATAATATAATATAATTAATATAATATTAATAGTTTGAAAATAGAGATAATAATACAAAATTAATAGAATAATTTTAAAAACAAAAATAATGTTTTATAATTGAAAAAATGTCCTCAACAAACAACTTTTCACCCTCTAGGGACACAACAACTCCAGGCAACATGTCCAACTCATCCAACAACACGGACAACAACGACAACAACAACACAAACAGCAACAACAACAACAACGACATCACAACATCAACGACAACTTCAAAGCAAATCAATAAATCCAACAACAGCACAAAATACAATGAAGTCGAAGATGACGACGATGATGTCGATGATGAGGATGATGACGATGAAGATGATGATGACGATCTTAAACATCATCATCATCAGCAGCAGCAACAACAACTTCACATTGGTTACCACAACAACCACAGCAACATTTTCAGTCACCAAATCGCACCATCTCCAAATGCTTACTTAAACTTTTTTCCGCAGCAAAAAAACATCAACAGCATCAACAACAACAATAACATCATCGAGAACAACGCCTACAGCAACGTTTACAACAATTTTTACAACACTCAACAATACTTCGCAACATCGCCGTTCTATCACTCAACATTCCCGACAACAACGTCATCATCCCACAACAACAACTACAACAACAACAACAATACTAGCTCATTCACACACTATCAAAAACAGCAACAACTGCAACAACAACATCCACAATTATTTTTCCAGCAACAACAGCAGCAACAACCACAGAAACACTTCCAACTTCCAACGACAACAACAACATCATCTTCTCCATCGACATCCCCATTTGATTTCAATTCACTCTTCAGCTACCATCACAACAACGCTCATTCCTTCATTTTTCCTTCATTCAATCCTACTAAAATCGAACTTGCGAACGAGCTTCCGTTTGAGAAAATCAACAACAACAACATCAGCAACAGCAGCAACAACAACATCAGCATCAACAACAACATCAGCAACAACATCGGTAACAAAACTGCACCATTCAACATTTCAGCCGCAACATCTTCAACAACATCTGCAAAGCGATAACAAACATTCAACGTTAACTGCCGATACATTATTATTATTATATTTGCTATTATTTCTTCAAAAATTTACACACGAACACACACACACCACATATACGCACGCACATACGCACACCACACACACACCACACACACATTCAGACAGACGAAAGAGAAAAAGTTTACACAAACATTTTATCGATGTATTTACAATGGTGATGACCGTAAAATTACGATAACCACGATGTTGGTGATGATGATGATACATTATTATACTAATAATTATGGTAATAATTAAAATTTTTTATTATTACAATAATAATAATAATAATAAACTGCTACAACAACAACTACTACTACTGCTATTACTTATTCTACTACTACTACTACTACTGCTTCTACTACTACTACTACTAATACTACTATTATTATTACTTCTTCTACTACTACTTCTACTACTACTGCTACTACTACTACTACTAAGGATAATAATAATAATAATGGAATAATATATTATTTTATATATTTTTATTATTTGTATTCAATTATGTTTTCTCAGTGGATCACGCAAACGGTTTGAAAAATGTCATTGCTCCTATCTCGTCAGAATAATGATAATTTTCATAAATTTGATTAATTGTTAATTATCCGTTAATTAATTAATTAATTTGTTATTATTTGTTATCTTGTTAATTAGGCTTAATTAATTAATTCAATTAATAAATGTTGAAAATCCTTTTTAAATATTTTATTTTAATTAGAAATTTGATTAAAGCAAAATAAAAGATAATAAAAATGACTAAATGTTATCTTCCTTATTTCTAATGATAGAAGTTGAAATGCTGCTGCTAATACTACAGCTGCTATTACTATTAGTACGATTAATCCATTAATTTGATTGATTGACTGATTGAATGAATGAATGAATGATTAATTGAATGAATGAATGATTGAATAAATAAATCAATGAATGATTGACTGACTGACTGACTGATTGATTGACAAATGAAATCTTAGCATAAGATCGGAATAAATTTAATAACGAGGCGTAACGAAACAATGGAAACCCGAGAGTTTAAAAACAAACACAAATAAATAGAAACAAGCAAGCTAAAAAAACAAAGACAATAAAGCAAAACAAACACCATAGAATAAATATTCAATTAACGGTAGGCCTCCCCATTTAAATAAACACCATACAAATCTTCAAAGGCAGTTTAATTTTCTTGTATTAATTGTTCACAGACAAACAAAACAGTTAGATTTGTTTGTATGTATGTATGTATGTGCGTGTGTGTATGTATATATGTGCATGTGTTTATGCATATGTGTACGTGTGTGTATGTATGTACGTATGTGCAGATGTGTGTGTATGTATGTATGTGCGTGTGTGTTTGTATGTGTATGTATGTATGTATGTGCGTGTGCGTATGTGTATGTGCGTGTGTATATGTTTGTGTGTATATGTATGTATGTATGTGTGTAAGTACGAATGTATGTGGGTGTTTGTTTATTGTGCGTGTGTGTGTTTGTGGTTTGCTTGTATGTTTTTTTTATAATTTTTTTTATAAATTCTAATTTAAATTAAATTAACGAATATGAAAAAACGTATTCTATATATTTATATATGCATGGGTGCACGCACATATGTGTGTGTGCATGCGTGCGTGCGTGTGTGCTTGTTTATGTTTGCGTAAGGTTGTGCATAATGTAAGGTTGTCATTGTGCGTATGTATGTGCGTGCGTGTGTGTGTGAGGGAGTGTGTGTGTGTGTGTGTGAGGGAGTGTGTGTGTGTGTGTCTTCTTTCACCTGCTTATACTTTTTAAGAAAAAGTTTCAACTCTTATGCGTGTGTATGTGTGTGCGTGCGTGCGTGCGTGTGCGTGTGTGTTGTTTTACTAGTCTTAAAGCGATATAAATTGTATGTTGTATGGATGTCGATATGATATTTTTTTTTAAATTGCTCTGACCTATGGCAACAGTTAGGAAAATTCGGCAAATGTATGAAATGTTATTAGAAGTAACAAATAAACATAAAAACGTTGGAGTGTTTGTGTGTGCGTGTGTGTGTGCGTGTGTGTGTGTGCATGTTGACGCAAACAAACAAACATTAAAGAATGTTTGCTCAAATTTAATAGTTTGTTAAATAACCGATGGGTCAACTATCTTTGATGTCTTGCTTCACTTCTGTATTGTTTCGATGTTTGCCTGCATGGAACGTTGTTGCAGTTGTTTGTGTTGCATTGTTGCTGCTGTTGTTGTTGTTGCTGTGATTTTGTTGTGTTGTTGTTGCTGTGATTTTGTTGTGTTGTTGTTGATGTGATTTTGTTGTGTTGTTGTTGATGTTATGGTCAATGTTGTTTTAGTTAGTTTAGTTTAGTTTAAATTAGTTTAATAGGTGTTAGCTTGTCTTATTTTCTTGATGTTTTTGCACTCGTTGTCAGCTATGTTATTTATGTTCGGCTGGCGTTGATGTTATTTAATGTTTTCGTTGGTGCTGTCATATTCCATTGAAGATGTCACTGTTAATGTTTGCTCTATTATTGTTGTTTATTTCTTCGTTGAACTCACCACCAAACCGACATCATCAGAGGAGTCAACCACCATAAAATTTACAGGTGAAAAAAAGTATGAACCAGTTAATGTTATCGGCAGTAGATTGTTTTTATGTTAATTATTGCCACAAAAAGCTTTGTCAAGTATTTGGATGAAAATAAGGCATAAATTTTCCATCTTCCCTTCCCCCACCACCAACTCCCCCTAGTTATCATCATCATGATCAGACTCATGTTAATACCATTATCACTGTCATGTTTATTGCACAAAATAAAACTCAATGATAATGATGATGATGATGGTGAGAATGATGATGATGATGGTGATGATGAGGATGGTGATGTTGAGGATGGTGATGAGGATGATGGTGATGATGATGATGATGATGATGGTGAGGGTGATGATGATGATGATGATGGTAAGAATGATGATGATGATGGTGATGTTGAGGATGGTGATGTTGAGGATGGTGATGAGGATGATGGTGATGATGATGATGATGAATTATGATTAATGACCCATCAACAATTATCGTCATCTTCATCGTCCTCATCAATAATCATCATCGTCGTCGTCGTCATTATCATCATCATCATCCTTATCATTATTAACATTATCCTCTTCTCTTTCTTCTTCTTTATTTGCATATCGTGACTCTAACAACAACAATAACAACAACAATAACAACAACAATAACAACAACAATAACAACAACAATAACAACAACAATAACAACAACAATAACAACAACAATAACAACAACAATAACAACAACTTCCAGACCAGTTAAGAATCGTGAGGATCACAATAATTACACTGAACCACACAACAATAATAATGACAACAATAACTTTAATAATAATAATAATAATAATAACAATAATTTTACCGTAACAACGAA